GTAGGTTTCAAAAGGAAGAGTCAAGAAAGACAGCAAGGTGTTTGGTCTAACAGTCAGAGGCATAGAATTGGCATTAATTGAGATGGAGAAGATTGCTGCTGGAGTCAGGGAGCTTCAGAGGAATATAAGGAATTCAGTTTTGAACATATTAAAGTTGAGAGGCCATTAGACATTCAGATAGAGATGTGGAGTTGTTAGTTTGAGTGTTCCAGGCTCTGGATAAATATTCGCAAGTCATCAGCATATTTAAAGCCATGAGATGGGCCAGGGGAGTTATTGAAGTGTAGTAACAGCCCTTGGAGCATTCCAACATTGATAGATTGAGGAGGTAAGGAAGAAGAAAGAAAGAAAACTGAGAAGTATACCACTAATGAGAAAGGCAAAGGACTGTTGGTATTCTTGACTCCAAGTGAAGAAAATATTTCTAGGAGGGGAGAACAATCAACTGTGTTAATTGTTGTTGATGTGCTGATTAAGATGAGGGCTGAGAATTGACAAAGGACTAGTATCTAGAACATTTAAGAACCCTCAAAAGTCAACAGCGGAAAAAAAAAAAGAAATGATACAATAAAATATGGATGCTATGAACTGAATTGTTTCCCCACCCCCCAAATTCATATATCGAAGCCCTAACCCCCAATATGACTGCATTAGGTGGTAGGGTCTTTAAGGAGGTAATTGAAGTTAAATGAGGCCATGAGGATGGGGCCCTAATCTGAATGGACTGGTGTCCTTATAGGAGGAGGAAGAGACACTAGAGAGCGCTCTCTTTCCACCTGTGCACAGAGGAAAGGCCATGTGAGGACACAGTGAGAAGGTGGCCATACCCAAGCCAGGAATGCCATAGGTAAAAGACATGAAGAGAGATTTCACCAAATCAAGAGTACAGATGGCAATTAAGCATGTGAAAAGACACTCAAAATCATTAACTACTGAGCAAATGCATATTAAAACCATAATGAGATATTACTACACACCTTCCAGAGTGGCTTAAAAAAAAAAAGTGACAACACAAAATGCTGGCCAGGATGTGGAGAAATGGATCACTCATACATTGCTGGTAGGAATGTAAAACGATATGGCCACTCTGGAAAAGAGTTTGGCAGTTTCATAAAAAGTAAGCATGCAACTCTCATATGACCCAGTGATTGTACTCCTCGGCATTTATCCCAGAGAACTGAAAACTTGCATAAAAACTTGTACATGGATGTTCATAGCAGCTTTATTTATAGTAGCTGAAAACTGGAAACAACCCAGATGTCTTTCAGCAGGTGAGTGGTTAAATAAATTGTGGTACATCCATACCATGGAATACTACTCAGCAATAGAAAAGGAATGAACTACTGATCCACACAACAACCTGGGCGAATCTTTAGAGAGTAATTCTTAGTGGAAAAAAAAAAGTCAGTCTGAAAAGGCTACATACTATGTGCCTTTATGTGTAGAACATTCTTCAAATGACATTGCAAAACTGACCAGTGGTTGTCAAGGGGTTAGAGAGAGGGTGAGGGCCAGAGAGAAGAGGATGTGGCTATAAAAGGGAAGCAGGAGGAATAGTTGTGGAGATACAAATGTTTTACATCTTAACTGTTTCAAGGAGAGTATCCTGGTTTTCATATTGTACTATAATTTTGCAAAATGTTACCATTGGGGAAAACTAGTAAAGGGTACACAGAGTCTTTCTGTATTATTTCTTACAACTGCATGAAAATCTATAGTTATCTCAAAATAAAATTTTTCGTTAAGGAAATCCATATTTCCAGCTTTCTAAAATGATTCTTAAGCATTCAGAAAGATTTATTGGACTAGTAAATTATCCCTTGCCTCGGCATTTCTATATTTCATTTTATTTTATTCACTTTTAAGAAAAGTAGTGTTACCAAACTCATCAAGCTGTATATACTAAATATATATAGCTTTATACATGTCAATCATACCTCAACAAAGTGGTTTAAAAAAAGAAAGGTAGTGTTAGTGTGTCATATGCATCTTGATTTTTAAAGTAAAATGCATTGTCTTAAAAAAATATATTTTTCAACTACTGTTCTTTTTTTAAACAGCTTTATTGAGATATAATTCGCATACCATACAGTTCACCCACATAAAGAGAACTATTCAGTGGTTTTTGATATATTCATGGGACTGTATAACCTTTACTGCGGTCAATTTTAGAACATTTTCCTCACCCCCAAAAGAACTCTGCACCCTTAGCCGCTGGCATCCTTAAGCTGCTCCAACTCCTCAGCCCTCGGAAGCCACTAATCTACTTTCTGTCTCGCTAAGTCTATTTTTAAAAGGATAATCTATTAAGGATACAAATAAAAGTTTAGCAAAATAAATATTTAAGAAATTACTTGTAATCTTAACATAAGTTAATTTTCCTTATGGACTCTTTTTACTGTATATATGTAATGAAATACTTGGTACATCTTCCTCTTCTATCTAAATAACTATATGGATCCTGTTATCCATTGCAGTCTTTTTTTTAAATTCTGGAAAGCTAAAAGGTGGCATTTCTGAAGGTATCTTTCCAAATCTCTAGTACCCTAGATTGAATTTAATTGAAATATATTAATTATTAATTACTTAAAAAATTTATTAGTAATTGTTAATTAATTACGTAAAGTAATGAATCATGATTTGTTTTTGTGGGGATGATAAAGGGGCTCTTGCTCTCCTGACTAGCACTCTTGTTTGCGTTCAGGTCTTCTATTGCTGCAGGTTAGGGATTTTTAGCCACGGAATTCTCTCTTCAAAAGACCCAGAGCTTCCTGCTGGTGGCTGCCTGCTGGGCTCTGCCCCGCCTCCCCTTCCTCGCCCCTCCTTTCTCGGGGGCAGCCCAGATCCTCCTGGGTGCTTCTTCGCACAGTCTGGAAAGAGCTGAGCTGTCATATGCCATTAACATTATCGGATTGTGAAAATACTGGCCTTTGCTTTTTTTTTTTTTATAATTATTTTGAATTAGCAGCAGTCTTTTAAGCCAATAAAATGTTCTTCATTTTTTACCTATTGTGAATCTGTAAAATAAGGTTTGCTAACTAGACAAAATAGGTACTGTTTGAGTGTGAGAGTGTTTGAGCTAAGGTAATAAATTGTTTACGTTACAGTGCCAGCGTTCATTGTAAAGACAGCAGCAATTCAAAGAATTGTTCCTCTCTTTCAACCAGTTCCCTGAGGCCTTTTATATGATTCTTTATTGAGTTACTTGTGATATAAACATAAAACAAATGAAATATTAGGTCTCATAATACTCAGATTAGACCTTTAAGTAATTCTGACTGATCCTCTTTCTAATCAGACCAAATTAGTAAGATTTAATAATATTCCATAATTTAAAGTTACAGCTTTATTTTAATTTTTGTACATATACCATTTCAACAGAAAAGCATTTCATTCCTCCTAAAAATAGGTCAGGTAAGAAATTTTAAGGACACAAGTGTGGTGTTATCCCTGACTTGATATCATGCATTTTCTTGCATTCTTTCCTAGAGATCAAAATGTCTAAGTATAGAAATAGCTGTAAAATGGAAATAAGGACTGGGCTTGACAAACTCAGATAATATACAATTTTGTTTGGCTGTAGGGAAAAAAAAAGCCATCAAATATGTTCTCAGCTGAATAAATTCAGCTCTAAAATTGCCCAAGTATGAGCTAAGGATTGACTTTTGAATCAGGTCCATAAGAAAAACAGAAAAAATAAAATATATAAGCACTGTTTGATCCAGAATTTATAGAAAATAAATAAAAATCTAAGGAACAAGTGAAAGTGGAGTCAAGTCTGTGATTTTTAAGCCTAGCTGGATATATATCTTTTCTCTGCTAACATAATGAACCGTTGTTTTGAAATTACTTTTTTCTAACTTCAGAGGATCAATGTGTCTTTCTTCCAGGAAGGTAATTTAGATAAAAGAATTTTATTCAGTGCATGAGTGCGTGTGGAGGCAGTTGCTTAAAACTTCAGATGCATGTTTATATTTGATGTGTCGAGAACTTGCTGGTGGCAGCAGCCATGCCTGGTTCATTTCTCTGAGAATTCTTCTCATCAGCCACACGCATCCAGTTGGATTTCACTCCTGTCACTTCATGCCACTGCATTTATATTTTATTTTCCATACTTTCTGCTATCTAAGACCCGCAGTATTTTTCCAAAAGGAAAGTTGTATATATAACAAACAAACAAACAAAACAAATGGGTAAGTAAAGATAAGAAGTTGTATTTGGACAGAAATTGTAATTAAAGACCACATAATTTTTTTCAGATCTCTTAATTTATATCCCAAACTTTTACACATTTTCTCCTTATATTGAGCATTTTAAAACTTTTTGAGAACCCTTTTCCTACTACCTGTCTACTTCACTGTTATAAGCAAAGTAAACGATAAATTTGAATGAAAAGAGCATTTTCATGAAAATATCAGCATAGCACAGAGGAAGCAGTGTCCTCTTCTTTAATTAGATGAGGACGTTTTGAATGCCACTCTCAGCTTAGAAAATCACAAGGCCCATTAATGAAAACAGTTAGTCGAGGGTGTAACTGTGAAGTGTGTGTGTTTGAAGTGTTAGAACAAAAAACGCTTTGAGCTTCTTTAGAGATTTTTTGTTATTCAAAGGAATTTAGGTGTTTAAATTTTCAAGTTATTAAAAAAATCCAGCCTATTAATCAATGTTAAGCAGATCGTTATCACTTTGGTGGCGGAGGATGGTATTTAGGCTGAGGCCCTTTTTTAAATACAAAATAGAACATTGAGAGCATTTCTGCAGGTATCATTCCTCCCCTAGGTTGGAAGGAATCCAGGATTTCAATCCTTGTAAAATTTCTCATCATCTGCTCTTGTATACTCTATAGTTAATAGAAAAAAGAAGAGCAGGTTTGGATACATTAGCAATGTTTTTACTAGGAAAAATATGAACAACGGAAAATTGAATTATGTCATTCATTTTATTTCATAAATTGTTTTCTCACTTTCTGATTTTCTTTTTTTCTTAAAAAAACAAACCAGGGTCGTTTTGGAATTCCGCTTCCTTCAATACTGAGGCTTCCTACCTTCATTTTCCTACTTTCCACGGAGAACTCAGTGCTGATGTGTCTTTCTTTTTTAAGACAACAGCTTCCTCTGGGGTATTTTTAGAAAACCTGGGGATTACTGATTTTATCCGCATAGAGCTACGCTGTAAGTGTCCTTTTCATTAGAAGTCTATGGGATTCTATTTAGCAGTAAATCTTTTAACTGATTTTTAACACGTTTCTAGTTTATCAGCTGAATGTTTTCATTGTATCCCTTTGAAAAACTTCTATATTGTTAGCCTTTTTGCAAGAGAGTAATTTAATATTTAACATGATAATTTGGGAAAATTATTGGTATCCTCTGGAACCAATTTAAGAAGGGTTTTAAATTCAAATAACTAATTTTCTTTATAAACTAAATTCTCAGTTAATTACAAAATTACTTAATTAAATTGACCAGCCGTATGATTTTGATGTGCTCTTAGACTGCTGTTGGTATCTTAATATCAAATGTATATTGCATGCTTTTAAAATGATAGAAACTTTGAATCACTGTAAAAATTACTTTTATGTAAAATACCAGATGCTGTTTCGTTTTCTTGCCCTGGCTAAATAGCTTTGCTCTTCAACAATATGAAAAATAACTTAGAGGATGAATTTCTTAAAATCTGTTTTTTCCAAATATATTTTACCTTCTCATTTCATGTCCTGTTCTTTACTGATGTCATTGGTTCCTTCCACAAGATTCAAACCATTGTTTTCATGTTCAGTGATTGCTATGTTACGGTGCCGTTCCTAAGTATATCAAAGACTCAGCTCTCCGCCACGTGGACTAACTTGACCAGTCTTCATGTCTAATATTTCCAGCTCCAACAGTGGTGACTTTTTCATTTGATGTGGGGAACGGACCTTTTGAAATCTCCGTGCAGTCCCCCACTCGCTTCAACGACAACCAGTGGCACCATGTTAGGGTTGAAAGGAACATGAAAGAGGCATCCATTCGAGTGGATCAGCTCTCACCGAAGACGCAACCAGCTCCAGCTGATGGGCATGTCCTTCTACAGCTCAACAGTCAACTCTTTGTGGGTAAGTTCTGTTTTTTAGGCAGTTTGTCATTTGATTGTATGATGTAAGTGCAGAGATGGGCCAAAATAAAATAATACCAACCAAAAAGAATAACGATAATAATAACAACAAAGCACCATTTATTGAGAACCTATGTTCCAGGCTGTGCCAAGTGTTTTATTTCTTCCTCGTAACCAACCTGTGTAATGGGTATTGTCCCCGTTTTACAGATGAGGTAACTGAAGATCAAGGGGTTGAAATGACTTGTCTTCAGAAATTCATCTAGTAAATAATATTCAGATTTGTGTTTGAGTAATTTCTAAACCTGCATTCTTAATGTTACAGATTATGTGATTTGTTCTAGTTTTGTTTTTTGTTTCACATTGATGTTTTAGTAAGATACCGGAGATGTTTATTTCTATTCCCAGGGGAGTTGAGGAACTCTCCTGGTATTTCCCCCTGATGCCAACCAGGGACCCCTGTCAAAAACAAGCCAATAGCAGAAAATAGAAAAATAAAATCAAAGTGTGTAAAACCCATGGCTTGACCAGTTTCTTCTTCTGCTAGTGTCTCTCATCTTGCTCATTATTTTGAATATCTTCTAATCACCTACATCATATTTATAACCAAATGTTGTTTCTGTTTTTCCTAAATACATCAACTTGCTATTTGTAGACTCGATGGTGGAATCTTTCTGGATGTGTTTGTTTTATTTTGCATCTTTGCTAATTAGTTTACAGAACTTATGGACCATGGAGTTCAAGGAGTTATCTCTTACTTGATCACTTTTCATAGAGTTTAATGTAAATAAGGGCACAGCAACACTATAAAGCAGAATAAATGATAAATTATAAGAAATTATATTTCAAGCATTTTTAAGAGTCGTGTTTTAGAATAAAATTCATCACATCTCCATTATATCTTCTATTGCTTAACAATCTTGTTGTATTAACTCTCACTGCAAAGGGTGAAACATTCGTAACATATTTGACTAAGACATATTTGAGACTTCTAATGAATCTGTGTATTCATTATTTCTATCATTTATTCTTTCTTTCACTCAATAAATATTCAATGAACAGCTTCTATGAGAAAAGCACTGTAATAGATAATCTAATCATGATCTCGTGGCCACGGACTTATTTAAGCATATGGAAATAATAAGGAATACATGAGAAGAAACACATAACTTCTCTTTTAATAACATGCTTGGAGTCCAGTCAAGAAATTGACATAGATATTTCTTGAATTATCAAAAATGAGAGGTGGCCACAGCAAAAGGTATGGCAATTTAAAATCTGTCAGTATCTGGGAAATAGCTTACTATTTTTGGAAATTGAGAAGGCTGAAACAGTCCTCGAATTCTTCAGTGAGATGTGCTGCAGTTTGCCTGTACCTCACCTTTCATTCTTGGGATGAATTTTAACTTCATAGAAATGGACCCACTTTATATTGTATCTGATAGGAATCTTTAATTTGATTTCAGGTAATTGTAATAGATAGAAGTACTGCTATGACAGCAGAAAACTGTGTTAGAGGAGACTTGAGTCTTTTGCCATTAATCGTGTGTTATAATTTTAATGAGGATCTAAGAGATTTCATCTTTATGGAGGCAATTGGTTAGGCTGTTGACATCCCCGTATGTGTTAAATTCAAGGATGACCGTGTTACTTGAAAGTTTTAAAAATGAAATCCTTATTCTGTTTAAGTCAAAGTCATTGAAAATTAAAAAGAAAAGGCAGAAAGAAAGATCTTTGAAAAAAAGTTTCGTCTACTGTTAATAAAAATCTATTTATACTGTTCCCTCCTTCCTACTCGCAGGTAACTGAGAAAACTGAAATGGTTAACGTGATGATATTAAAAGAAAGACTCATGTTCAAAATAAGTCTTACAGCCTTAGGTAGACGCAGCTGTCAAGAGGACATATAATCTTGTTTTTATCTTTACCTCTACCACAAGAGTGGATCTCTCTCTTAGGATAGCGCCCCAACCAAGTTAAAAAATATTTACAAGACAAAAATATTAATTTACCCATTTACAACATTACTACCAAACAAATCAGACTTTTAAAAAATTTCTAGATGAAAATACTTTTTCCTTTCAGGAAGACTCAATGGAAGTTAAATTCTAATGAAAACGATTACACTGAATTGGTGCAAAGTGGGTGAAAGTCTAGTAAAAAATCAGTAATAATTAGAGCTAATTTACTGTAGTACTTACTAAGACCAAAAAGTAGTTCTCTGCCTTCCTGAGAGTATATTCTGGTGGAAGATAAAAGAAGTAGCCAATAAAAGAGTAAAAACTAAGATGAACTAAAACTATATATATGTATATACACAGATACACGTGCAGGCACATATATGTATATAACTTGTGTATATGTGTATCACTAATGATAAATACCATAAAGTACAAAGCAGAGTAAGGAGTCAGGCAATGACTGGGTTGGAGGGCTTCTGTTTCGAGTGTGATGGTCAGGGGAGTCCTCTCTGAGGACCTTCCATCTGAACAGAGGCCGGATGAAGCAGAAGAGGGAAAATCTGAAGGAAGAGAATTCCAGGCTCAAAATAGTGGGAATGAGCTCTAGGTGGTCAAGGAGAAGTTCCGTGTGGCCAGAAGAGAGAATCATTGTGAGGGAAACGGTGGTGTCAAAAACAGTCGAGTTATATACTGGGTCTTGTATGGCCGTGGCAATGAACTTGGATTCTGCTCTAAGGGATCACAGGAGTGGCGTGATCTAATTTACATTTTCCACGTTTCTCTTGCTGCTGTGAGGAATGTGGATAGAGGGAGAGGGTAGATGCAGCTATGGCAGTAATCCTTATGACAGATAATAGAGGCGTGGACTAAAGTGGAGATCGTGGAAAATAAGAGTTGGGGCATATTTTAAATGTAGATGCACACAAGTTGCTAATGAAGTGGTCAATGCTGTTAGCGATGTATGACTTACCCAGGTTAATATTCTTGAGGGCGAGGCGCTTCTCTATAGGTCTCTGGGTTCCTCACATCATTTCTTAGTTTTTATTCTCCCCAGAAGTTAGCTTTTCTTGTTTTCTTCCCTTATCCTAATTTGTAGCATGACTAAAACTGTTCCCTGGCCCCACAATCTGGATCATATACTACAAAACATACTCTTGCCAGGCTACAGAAGACCCATGGTCATTCTTTACACCCCAGAGAAGATATCTTCCTCCTTCTTCTCCTTCAGTGAAATTCTAACCGCCCCATAATCACACTGTCACCAGGAAACCAAGCCTCTTTGTTCCTATGTTCTGTACCAGCACATGTCAGATGTAGACTGTTTCCCCACATATAAATACCTTCAAATATGTTAGAGTTCATCTGTTCTCAGAGCCAATGACCCCATGGGTAACTAGGAATCTCTGCTTTAATCCAATAGAATTGATTTTCTGGTTAAAATTTTAAAGGGTGGTTTCATTACCCTTATTTACAAGTTCAAGAATTGATTTGTAGTTCATCCGTCCATCTTAGAAATAATTATGGCTAATCAATATTTCAAGTGTGTATAACGACTATCATTTGTATTTGGGTATCAGGACAGATGAATGAGATAAATGTAATTGCAAAAAGTAAGTCTGTAGTTTTCAGCAGAACTTTTTCCTCTTAGAAAAATGTTTAAATCCAGATACTGGTGATACTAATAATAATAATATTGTTTTAAATTACATGGCAACACAATTTTTGTAAATGCAGGACAAAATTGAAAGACTAAGTTACTGTTATTCACTCTAAGATTGATTGTTATTATCCTATCATTTAGTAACTTTTACCAAAAATGTACCTTCTCGTTTGTAAACAAATTTAGCAGAAAATGTAAAAACTATTGAGGGATATTTCAAATACCAAATAAAGTTATTTTATAATACTTCAAATATGAAACACTAGAAATTTTGATAATGTAGAAATATGTTTGAGATACCATCTTTAACACTTTTACCTACAAGTAAAAAGTTGTGGACATTTGAATATATGTTAACTTTTATTGAAATTATAGTCTCCATCTCACTATGCTACCATAGCCAGGCCTATGTTGATGATATTTATTGAGATTACAAGTTTTTGAGATTAAAGTTTTGGGCAGTCTTTCAGAAGTGACGACTGCAAGGGATAACATGAAAGAATCCAGTGTTTTTTCCCTGTTGCTTGCTTCACTCTCTCCACTAAAGACCACTCATAAAGTGTGTTCACATCTCTGAGGGAAACTCTGAGGCAAAACTAATGCTTTAACTTCTGAGCAAAATCAGGAAAAACAGATAGAAAGCACATTTAAAAATGTGATTCATAATGCCCCCAAGGTCCATCCATGGTGTCACAAATGGCAAGATATAATCTTTTTTATGGCCGAGTAGTATTCCATTGTATATATATCTCTATATCACAGCTTCTTTATCCTTTCATCCATTGGTGGGCACTTAGGTTGTTTCTAAGTCTTGGCTATTGTGCATAATGCTGCAGCGAACATAGGGGTGCATATATCTTTTCAAGTTTTTATATTCTTTAGATAAATACCCAGAAGTAGTACAGCTGGATCATACGGTAGTTTTATTCCTAATTTTTTGAGTAATCTGCATACTGTTTTCCATAATGCCTGCACCAATTTACATTCCCAACACCAGTGCAAAATGAATCAGATGGAGAAAGCCAAGTACTGTATGATTTCACTCATATGTAGAAGGTTAAAAAAACCAAACAACAACAACAAACACACACATAGACACAGAGAATAGATTGGTGGTTACCAGAGAGGAATGGGGGTGGGGGATGGGCGAAAGGGATAAAAGGGGACATGTGTATGGTGGTGGATTGCAATTAGACTTCAGGTGGTTAACACAGTGCAGTCTTCACAGAAATTGAAATATAATGATGTACACCTGAAATTTATATAATGCTGTAAACCAATCTTACCTCAATAAAATTATTTTTCATTTAAGAAATGTGATTCAACTGGGTAACAATTGTATATGGCAATTCAAATAGGAATATGAAAATGATAGTTTCAG